TGGAAGCGGTAGGTGTTCATTCGGTGGCGCAATCAGTGCCACTAAACTGCAATCTAATCTCAAACTCCGCATACCAATCATAACCTAAAACCATTGTCACACAGAGATTTCGGACAAGAAGTAACCGCTGTCTGGCTGTCCTCCCAAGCTCACACACGCTCAGGCATACTTAGCGAAAGCTAGGTGGAGCGGCTCCATGAGCATGCAAATAGTACTGCGAAACTGCAATCTATATACAAACTCTGCATACCAATCACAACCTAAGAACACTGGCATGCACAGGTTTGGTACATCAGGGAACCACTGTCTCGCTGTCTTGCCAAGTGCAGACAAGCTCAGGCATACTTCGCCGAAGCTAGGTGGAGCGGCTCCGTCAGCCAGCACGAGATGAGGTCGAGTCACATGCGCAGGGCTCACAGAAAATCTCCCAGGCAAGAAAGTCATCGCGAAAAAACTGAAGGCAGCCCCAGTGTCCACAAGTGCTTCAGTGGGCTGGGACAGATTTCCAAGCATCAGCCTCACAGTTGGCATATCGTTCAAGGAGCCTATTGTAAAAGAAGAGGGGCTTCAGCCATAATACGGGGTCCTGCCCTCGATGACTGGTACTCTATTTTCGGGAAAAAGGGGTCGAGTTTGTCAGCGACGCGGTCACTCAAAGATAGCTCCGGGCAAAATACCCAACGTCGTTGCAAAGTGGTGGCAATGCATCACCGCTGAAAAGTCGTGGTGCCGAGCAGGTGCGGAATGCAGGGTCATGTAGGTTGATTACCAGAGTAATCTAACGCTGCTTACGACCACTCTTGTATTTCTTCCTCAGGAGCTACGGCTACAGCCGATCGTATCTCAATCGGACAAGCGAGGTGGTTGAAGCGGTGGGCGTTTCTTGTATGTATGGCGTCAACAAAGGCGTTAGCAGCGATACGATTCATGATTGTGTCAAAGCAGCCCGACAAGGCTTTCCGGCACAACCTATCGACGTGCGCAGCTAGTTCATTAAGGTCATGCCGACTTTGTCGGACGTGTTTAAGTTGTGTAAGGTAGAAATCTTGAAAGTGAGTGTCGCCAAATATGATTTGCAGCAGAGAGACATGATTTTCATATGTACAGCGGATGATTTTTGCGATATACTCAATGTATTCAGCCGTGGCGGCACGGAGCTGTACAACGAGGGACGCGAACTGTACCAAAAATGCTACCCACGACGTGGTGCCACAGAAAGTAGGTGGTGGAAGTAGTGTTCCTAAAAACTGAGGCTTAGCTGAGATGGAAACATACGAGGTAGGCATACGTTGTTGATGTCCTGATTGCGCCTTAATGACAAGGAGCCGCGCATCAACTTCCGCGACGACGTGTGCCGCTGGTGCACGTTGGGCAAGTGCGGCCTCAATAGAAAGCAGGCTGGTAGACGAGTGAGTTTCGAAATCGTGCATGAGTACTCGTCTGTCAGCCTCACTTATTGAAGCCAGGGCTTGTAGGCAATGTGGTATAGGTAGACTGGGACGACTGCTTGACTGTTGAGCGTGACTTGGCGTACACTGGGCATCGAAGTCCGACAGAAGAGGCTGAACACTGACAGAAGAGACAGGGGACCCCACAGTTCTGCCGAGCTTTTCTCTGTTCTAGAAACATCAGGTTCCCCGACCGTCTACGAAGTGTCGTGTGCTATAGGGTGCATCTGTGAATTGCCGGCTGTTGTCGTCACGGCAGCCTTGCTGCGTGTAAAAATGGGTCACAGTTGGAACCACTGCCATCAAATGAAACGTACAAGTGTAACTAACGTAAAGAAGGTGATCATGATGATCCTTGAAATATTGGCACCTACCCACTCGGCCAAGAGTAGGGAGGTTCTTACAAACTTGATTTATGATTGAAACTGTCTTGTGGCTGGTGCCGAGCTAGCGTGGCAGAGCACGAGCGGAGAGAGACGATACGCACGACAGCTGCTCAGCTAACGAAAAGGGCCCTCCACTTTATTCGGGGCAGAATATATACAATCTCAGGGGCGCCACCTGCTAGTGGCAGCCGAACTCAATGGCTGAAGGGTGGCGACCTCTACATCTCCCCCCTTGAAGACCAGACGGAAGACGGAGGACGCCAGACACTGCACATCACAAGTTCAGGCGGTTCGGAGGCACAACACGGCGGCCACAACGTGTTCGTGTCACACCATCACTGCGGTCACTGTCTGCAGGGGGCAGTCCAAGGGAATCGGGTGGTTGCACTGTAGTAGTTCGCTCGGGTTTCAGAGGGGGGCCGTGTTCGCTGTGGCTCCTGCTCCTCAGACGGCGGTGGTTCCACTCTTGGCACAGGAGGTGCAAAAGGCACTAGGTGACGCCGGTTGCGCTGTAGGACGCCACCCTGCTCCGTTTCCACGACATAACTTCGTGGTCGGCGTGCTGGGCTAAGCACTTTAGCCCAGCACGCCGACCACGAAGCTTTGACCTGATCACTTTGACCTGAGCACTTTAGCTTTGACCTAATCAGGTCGTACCCAGACACACTGGCCTGTTCGGAGCGATGACAGATCTTGAGCTCTGTGATGCCTGTTAAAGTCAGCGGCCTGTTTTCTGATTGTAGGCTGCATCTTTTCTCCTCACGTCTTTCCTCGAAGGCCAGTGAGGACCTAACTGGGAGTCCTGTTTCGGCACTTTGGTTCGGAGTTGTCGTCCCATCAAGAGCTGGGCCGGGCTGAACCATCGACTCCTGGGGGTGTCCCGGTAGCTGAGCAAGGCCAGCTGAGGGTCTGTTGCTTTGCGAAACAAACTCCTTGATGGTCCTGACCATTCTCTCCGCCTCTCCGTTCAATTGCGCATAGTGCGGGCTGCTGGTGACGTGGTCAAAGCCGTAAGATGCCGCCAATGCTGCAAACTCGCGTGAAGAGAACGGTGGACCGTTGTCTGATCTGACTTCTCGCGGAATCCCATGCCGGGCAAAGATGCTTTTCAGAACGTCGATGACTGCCTGAGCCGTTGTGCTCCGCAGGGTTACAACTTCAGGGTACCTGGAGTAGTAGTCCACCACAAAGATGAATGTCTGGCTGCGGAGGTGGAACAGGTCCATGCCGACAAGTTCCCGAGACGTCCAGGTAGGACTGTGGAGACCAGGGGCTCTGCATGGCTCACCCGAGTGGAAGCACATTGCTCGCAGTTAGTTACCAGAGAGGCAATGTCTGCCGAAATGCCAGGCCACCAAATGGACTCTCGAGCTAGAGCTTTCGTCCTGTTGATGCCTTGGTGTCCTTCGTGCAACAGCGTCAAAACAGCCGGCCGAAGAGGAATGCGGGATGACCATCCTGGCGCCTTTCAGTAGAACACCGTCGCAGACAGAGAGCTCATCAGCTGCTGAGGCATACTGGGAGAAGTGCAGTGGCAGTTTGGACTTCTGTGGCCAACCATTCTGGCAGAAGGAGGTGAGGCCTCTGCATTCGCCATCGGACTCTTGTGCTTGTCGCACGTCCACTGGGTTTAGTGGCAAGGGCTTGTGACATGCCGCTGACCACTTGAGCTGCAAACAATTCCACGGTGTCCAGGGGGAGGGACTGCCGTCTGGGCGATGCGTGACAAGGTATCTGCCGTAGCTAACAGCTTTCCTGGCACGTGGAGCATTCGGAACTGGTATCGCATGGTCTTTAACCTGAGCCTCTGTATGCGAGGCGGCAGCATGTCCAGCTCCATCTTGCCGAAGAGAGAAACGAGTGGTAGGTGATCTGTCTCAACATCGAAGGTGATGCCGCGGACGAATTCGTCAAACCGTTGGATAGCCCATGTTGTTGCCAACGCTTCCTTTTCCGTCTGGCTGTAACGCTGCTCTGTCTCTGTCATTGATCTCGAAGCAAAAGCAACTGGGCGGCGCTCTCCAGAGGGCTGTGTCTGCAGCAAGACTGCGCCCAGTCCGAATGAGCTTGCGTCAGCCGAAACTGTGGTGGCGTATGATGGATGGTACTTGGCCATGCAACGGTCTGATGTCAGGAGTTCCTTGATTTTCTCGAATGCAGCATTTTGTTAATGCTGCCACACCCAAGTCGCAGACTTGTTTAGAAGTGCTCTGATGGGAGCAGTGACCTCTGAGATGCAACGCGAAATCCGGGCAAGATGGTTCACCATTCCGAGCAGTCACCGGACACCTGCGATGTCGGTTGGAGTCTCCATGGCTTTGATTGCTTCGACCTTGTCTGGACTTGGCCTGATGCCTTGTGCTGAAACGATGACTCCTAGGAAGGAGACTTCGGAGACACCAAACGACACTGGTCCTGGTCAACGTGAGGCTTGCTTTTGCAAGGCGAGACAGCACCTGGCTCAGTCTGGCATCGTGCTCCTCGCGGGTGCGCCCAAAGACCAGAATGTCGTCTATCATATTGGCGACTCCTTCCTGGCCCTCCAGGATCCTGGCCATCTGTTTTTGGAAGTACTCCGGCGCGGAGGCGATGCCAAAGGGGAGCCGGCAGAAGCATTATCGGCCAAATGGGTGATGAACGTTGTGAGCTCTTGGAGTCTGCAGATAGTTTAACCTGATGAAAACTGGCTGTTGCATCCAGTTTGGAGAAAACTGTTGCGTCGCCAAGGAGGCCAAGGACTTGCTCTACCGTTGGTAGGATGTGGCGTTCCCGAAGGACAACCTTGTTAAGCTGAGTCAAGTCAACGCACAGCCGGTAGGAACCATCGGCTTTCCGTACTACAACGAGACCAGAGCACCACGGGGTTAGGTTGTCGACCCTGCGGATCACGCCTCATTCCGCCAGTTTGTCAAGCTCGTGACGGACGACCTCGCGTAGCGGGATGGGAATCCTGCGAGGCACACTTAGGGAGAAGGGTACGGCGTCGGGTCTCAGAAGGATAGTGTACTCGTCCTTGAGGGTGCCCAATCCCTGGAAGAGCTCAGCACGCAATGTTGCTTTCGAAGTCTGAAGTTCGTCGAGAAACTTTACAACTTCTAGAGCTTGAAGCGCCGGCAGTCAAGAAGAGGTACGGTGGGAGACTGGATCACGTACAAGCGCTGAGAGCTCATTTTCCCGTGCCACCAAAGTCTCGCCATGTACGAACCCAGCACGCGCCGCGGCTGACCGCCAGGTCCAGTGAGCCGGCTGTTGAGGTGTCGAGCTTGGCCGGCAATGCAGGGAAGTCGCTCGGAACGGCGGACACCTCGGCTCCGGAATCAACCTTGAACTGCGCTGTGTAGTTGTCAACGGTGATGTCGACGAACTTTGCCGCGGTGGGCGTCCCGACAGCCTGTAGCTGAATGGAGCCGAGCTTCTGTTTTGCCTGCCGCGCGCGGCACACCTCCGCAAAGTGTCCTTTCTTTTTGCAGAAGTTGCAGACGGAGTTTCGAGCAGGGCAGTTAGAACGTGGATGTGGCGCGCGGTCGCAGAATTCACTTGTTGACGGCTGGCAGGAGCGCTCTGCTTTCCGCGGGGGCGAAGGCCGCTTATCGTAGTTGCGGCGGCGAGAGGCGAACTTCTTATCTCGTACGGCGTCGAGGTGTAGCTCGCGGGAGTGCTCTGCGCAGTTTTGAGGCAACGTTTTTTCTTTGTCGGCGTCTTCTGATTGATGGGCCTGCATCCATGCTTCTTTGAGCGTCAATTTCGCGTTCCGGCAAAGCTGGTCCGAAAGGCGCGAGTCGCGGAGGCCCGCGACGAATCTATCGCGTACAAGCTTTCGCTCCACCTCAGCTGACGAATAGTTGCACCGCTTCACCATTCTACACAGTTTGGCGTAGTAGGCGTCGACGCTCTCGTCGGGTAACTGAACACGCCGGTGAAAGCGCGACGACTCGTACAGTTCATTCGCCAGATGCACGAAGTGGTCGGTGAAGCTAGCGGCAACCGCTTGAAATGAGGCGAGTGATGCGGTGTCGAGCGAGAACGTCTCCAGAAGTGCGGGCCTCCGGCCTCATGCAGTACAACAACGAGCATACCTGCATGTCGCCGGATGCTGAGTCAGGCCGGAAACGACGGCGTAGTCCTCGTAGCGGCGAAGCCATGCTGGCCAGGTTCCCGGGTTCACAAAGTCGAACGGTGCGGGCGGCTGGAGGTTAAGGCTGAGCTTATTCGGCGCCAGTCGTCGTGCGGTACGGGCGAGTTCGGGATGAGGGGGCGTTACGCAGCCACTTCTGACACCATGTCTTGTGGTGGTGCCGAGCCAGCGTGGCAGAGAACGAGCGGAGAGAGACGATACGCACGACAGCGCTCAGCTAACGAAAAGGGCCCTCCCACTTTATTCGAGGCAGAATTGTACCATCTCAGGGGCGCCACCTGCTAAGGCAGCCGAACTCAATGACTGAAGGGTGGCGACCTCTACAGAAACAATGAAATTTGTGTCTGTTTGCTTGGAATACATGAACATACCACTCTGGGAAATTGGCCAAGAAAAGAGATAGTATCCTTTGAAAGGTAACTGCATTATGGCTTACAAAAAAGAAAAGAAAAAGATGCAGAACGAAGATATAACATAAAAAAACAAAAATTCGGAGAGTGAGGAACCATAACAAGAAAATAATCATACTCTAGAACCATACCTTGACTTTGGGAGCCTACCAGAAAGTTGAGTTTTACAAACCCAATTAATTTTGGATGTATGTCTCATACTTATTCAAATTTTATGAATTACTTCCCCACTATTTTAGGGGGTGTTTGAGAAAGTACGCCTTATGTTGAAATACGTTTAGCGTATTGAATGAAAAAACACACTGCATCAAATCCATCTTTGTGGCGATTTCACAGAAGACAAGCACCAAAATTTAAAATGGTTTCCGTGGTTAAATTTAAATCTAGCTTCACTAACGGAATAGCTAGAATTATTTCCCCAATTACTGCGTAGTTGTGACATGAGACAAAATAATGTTCAATAGTATACAATTCTTCGCAGAACTGACAAAAAGTGGAGTATGTAAGGCCAGCTCTGTGTAAATATAAAAATTAAAGGGGGAAGACGACACTGAAATCTGGAGAAAATAACTTCGAGTTTTTTTCAACGACTCCACTTACATAGCCATGGAAATTTGAGGTGCTGATAATCTGTCCATTTTGTAATATATTACAAACATTTTGTAAAAAACCATACACTGTTTTCATTGATATCCTTTACTGGACTGCCCCTCAAGTGCCAGTCACAGTGTTGGTATGATCCGCTACAATGTTGTGTACCTCCAGAAATAGTTTATGCGCATATTTTAAATATTTTAGAACTCCTGCTTGCGGAATTCTCAGGAAGCGATGGTATGCGGATGTAAATTAAAATTTAGTAGGTTCATTTTGATAATTACTCCAGCCTACATACTACGAACCATTTAACTCCACTTGACGAAAATCTAATAGTGGTAGTTTCATTACCTGCATGGCTAGCAAGGAAACTAAAGTGAAAAAATTGGGTGCAGTTAAAAGTTGTCTCTATGGCCATCGGCTTCCTGCAATATCAAGACTTGGCCGGTATTGTATACTGTTGCAGCCGTTTGAAGGCTAATAATACCCCTACTTTGAAATAGCACACTGTGTACTGGGTAATATCCTTAGATATAAACAAAAAAATTACGGTCTGCAGATGTAAATAAAAATTTAGTAGGATGAATTTGATAATTACTTCAGCCTACATACTACGAACAATGCAACTACAATTGACGAAAATGTAACAGTGGTAGTTTCATTACCTGCATGACCAGCAAGGAAACTAAAGTGAAAAAATTGGGTGCAGTGAAAAGTTGTCTCTATGGCCACCGGCCTCCTACAATATCAAGACTTGGTCGGTATTGTATACTGTTGCAGCCGTTTGAAGACTAATAATACTCCTACCTTGGAATAGCACACTGTGTACCGGTTAATAGCCTTAGAACTTACAAAATTTGGATGTTTTGTACACATCGCCATTTGTACTTTTATATATGTGTGTTATCCTCTAGCACAAAATTTTTACTTGAAAGTAAACGACAGCACTAATGATAGTCTAAATTTCTCCTAAGAGTGTCACAATTCTTGCAAAATACAGTATTGGTATTGTAACGAGGGAATTGACTTCTTTGCAAGATAAGTTCACCAATGCTTAGCACCGCACAAGGGACAAGACGGTCATGCCCACAACGGCTCGCCGCTTGCTCACGCTTCTTCCTACTCTTCTTCACTTCGGGAGACTTGTCGCGCAACTATATTAAATATTATGGTTGCTTAACGTCCCAATACAACCATACTATCATGAGAGACGCCGTTGTGAAGGGCTCCATAATCTTTGACTATATGAAGTTGTTTTTTTTACGTGCGCCTAAAGCAGATGGACATCAAGCGTTTTTGATTCGATTGCTCAACTCAGTTGCAGAGTTTTTATGCATCTGGTGACGTAAGTGTTATGTTGTTACAATCATTCTTAGCTCAATAAAACTATCAAGATATACCTTTCTTATGTTGAGGAATTTCAGGAATGGAATTGACCTGCTGGCTATTCCCGGGTTTTTTACTCTAACTAATTGAGGAGATTGGAATTGGAATGAATTGGAGATGTCCAATCTGCAGCACTGTTGCGGACATCGCACCCCGTTACAGCAAAAAAATGCAATCTATTGCAACTTACCGTACAATGTTTTGCGAAGAGCCGTCTAGTTGGCATCGATGCCGACATAGCACGCCTGGACTTTGAAGCAATAAGACCCCGAATGCAACCAAACAAATCCGCCAACCCGGTGTTTCTGGGGAGTCAGAAAAAAAAAGTAAAGGGCTACAGTTGAAAATGGCTCACATTTGCAATGCAGTGCCTGCGCATTAACAAAAACCTCACATAATGTAGTGATGAACAGAAAGCATCGACTTGAAGATGAGCAACAGACGCTTTCAAATTGATATATTCATGAATCGCAAGAGAAAACAAAGAATCGGAAGAAACACCAGTACGACCACCAACTTCGCAGATTTTTGTAGTGATCAATTTTATTCACATGATGTGTCGGGGTGGGCTCATTATGTATAAATTCTTGTTAATACAAATCTCGTCACAAAAGATCAAATTAACCAGTTTAATCGCAAGATACTTATGCGTTAATCAAGAGGTTTCCATTCAAATTTACATTTATTGCAGGTAACAGTAGAGTTAATATTGTGCCTTTGACAAAGCGTGCAACACGACTTCGTTTGTGTTCATGTTTATAGATTACAGTTTGGCCATGAGGATACCGCATGGTACCGGCAAAAATAAATATAGGTCGAAAATTTGTAACATACTAAGGAGACTAAATTTTGCGTTTAATTATTTTAAACCACCGTTGTCTTTGCAATCACGTAACGTATATGCTTATTTTAAGATAAATCACAAGACAAGTATACACCAAGGTGTTTAAAATGTTCAACGCAGTCAAGTTTTGATCCCAACAAGCTCTGGAATTAGTGAAAATGTTTGCATTTTGTGGTAAAGCTACGAAAACACTAATATTTTTACATTCTCAAACACATTTACCATTTCTCACACCACCTCACCACAGTGTCAAGATGACTTCGCA